AGGCGATAACCATTTGCACTATTAAACCTAAGCTATGCACTCAAACGAAGTTCGTACAGCCATTATCCCTCCCTTGTTGGCCTATTAAGACATAACCAACTGATGATTTATACACCACCCCTTGTTTATATTTTTCAACCCCTTTCTTATCATCCCTTAATCTTATCACATCTTCAGTATAAACGTGTCTCGTTTACTTCCCTTACAATCTAACATTACTTAATCGGTTCATTTGTTTTTCTTAGCCTTTATCGACTACTTCTACCTGAACATTTGTTTGTTTAATCACGCTGTTTTTCATTATTCGTGTTATCACAGATCGTCTCAATTTCTTAATCCTTATTATTGATAGAACCATTATTGTTATTATTATCATTACTACTATTATGACTAATTGCACAGTTTATATTCACCATCTTATCATCCTGTGCGTCGGTGGTATAGCGGTTAGGACGCTCGCCGACCATGCAAATGATCCGGGGTTCAATCCCCGGCCACCGACGCACTCTTTTACCTCGCTGAGCCAGAAATAATGCTGGTAAAGAGGAAAGGTTGGGCATGAGGCTAGCAACCCCATCCTGTAAAATAAACACTGCTACAGAAACTTCAAGCCACTAGCTTGAAGCCCTATGTTCCACTGGGAACGTGAAGGAAAAAAGAATCTTATTATCCTATAGACAAAACACCATGATTGGTTTTTATTTGAATTTTTATTTGTAAAGTTATGTATATTAGAGTTAAGGCTGATGAGATCTAATTGAAAACAACAATAATGTTCGCCTAAATGTGTTGTTCTTTATTTATTATGTAATTATTCACTTGGGTTCCGTGTGGAGTATTGGGCTTCAATATTACATCACTATTCCATCCTGCTATCTGCAGTCATTTCTTAAGCTGACTCTAATCCATGTCACCCTAGGACCCACACCTAACTCGTATATTACCATTCAGATTCCATTCGAGTGATGGCCTAGTGCTCGACATCTTTTAACGGTCCGCTCCATCTCCATTTCATTCTGCATGTCTGTTGAATAATAGCTTTTTTTGTTCAGCGAAGAAATTTCTTTTCAACGACTTCATTTTCAAGCTGTACAGTCGTATTTATATTATAGAAAAAGTTATTAAGTGGCACTAAATAATTTCTCAGTCAATATACATATATGTGATAAGAATAATGATAATTAAAATGTTGTAAGCGGTAGAGTTGAAGTGGATGAATTACAAAATTATTAAAGATTGTTTTATAAGTGAATTGATATCAAAAATATTTTTTTAATGTCAAGCCTTGTCTAAAAATTTTAAAAATTAGGAGTACGGTTACGATAAGAATAAAGGTGTGAAGTGGAATGAATTCAAGTGGTACAATAAAATAACATAAAAACTAGAAAGAACATTACTGTGACCAAGGTAAAGAAAGGGGTTTGACAAAACGTTTTTGAACACATAATTTAGGTTTCTGTTCATGTATAGCTAAACCTTCGGCTATGCATAAGTGAAGAAAACGTAAACTTTTGGAGCGATTCGATTTTGCCATGTAGATAACCTTGAAGGATGAATCACGTGGGGCAGAATGACCAGACTCTAACAGGTGATCACAAATAGAAGACTTCGCAGTTCTACGTTCGCCTTTCATTAACCAAACTGGATAGTGTTCAGCTACACGTTCACTTATAAAACAATCTTTAATAATTTTGTAATTCATCCACTTCAACTCTACCCCATATAACATTTAAATTATCGTTATTCTTATCACATATATATGCATATTGACTGATCAATTATTTAGTGCCACTTAGTAACTTTTTCTATAATATAAATACGACTGTACAGCTTGAAAATGAAGTCGTTGAAAAGAAATTTCTTCGCTGAACAAAAAAAACAACTGTGTTTTTACTTATGAATAAATGGGTATTTTTCGTGAATAATAATTTGTTAGCTGGTTTGCTAAAAGAACAGAGTTCCGTGTTGCTTATGCTTTCTTGAATATAAGAACAACAAAGTTCAGCAAACAGTCTCTTTTCGGCGAGCGAATTCATTCACTTAGCATTTATATACAATTATTTCGTGTGTGTGTATATGCATGTGTACATTAGGCTTGTCAAATAAAAGTAAAAATAAAAAATTAGTTAGGGTTACTGTTTACGTCATCAAAATATTTCAAAATATGTAATGAATAATCAAAATTGTAACTAAGATGTGGGGTTGAAGATTGGTAAGTATTGACAAGGGTTGCGTAACATGAAATAGGATGTAAATGGAGACGCCTGTCCAAAAAATAAATTATGTAATAGGTAGAAAGAGTAAATAAAAGGTTGGTTAACACAAAGACGTTACTAAGATGTCATACAAAAATTCGAAAAAGGCTTTACTAACAAAGTAGTAGAACTTGGAATTACACCCAAGTTAGAAGTAGGGGGTGGAAAAGGTTCTTATGTGTACATAAATCAGGGTTTTCTATCCCGATTGTAAGGCCTCCTCAGCAATGCAAGGTATACGGAAGTTTACCGTTTTCGAGAGGTTTCTTTCGACTTTGTAGATGACTTTGAATAAATTCTCCTTACACATACTGAGTGAACAGTATTGACTATATGTTCAGTTATAGCACTCTTTATTGATCCACTGTTACCTTTTCGTAGGCAAGCGGGATAATGTTCTTTGACTCTTTTAGATAAAACGCGCATCGAACGACCTATATATCTCACTCGCTCCACATGAGCAAGTAAATTGGTAGATACACATAAAAGTGGTCAAATGCAATAGTTTATCTTTGAAGTTGTTGAAGAACGATGGGCGGGTTGAGAATACCAATCCTAATGTAGCAGAAGGAAATGTTCTTCTATTCAGGGCTTTAGATACTCCTCTCTTTAAGATATCGTCCAGAAGGTCACCTTTGAACGCCACATTCATGTATTGCATCTTCTTTGTTCTTTGTTGATTTTGAGCTTTACATGTTAATCTATAAAGCGTGATGGATAGCCATTCTCAAGTAGTGTCTTCTTCAAAATAGTGATCTCTTCTTCTACTGATTCGGGGCTGAATATTCTACGGATTCTAGTCCCAAGAGATATTATCAGGTTTCGTTTGCGACTGATGTGTACCCATCTGTAAAAGTTTGTCAGCTGGCCGTTCCACGTAGGCTTCCGATATATTGATCTCTCTTTAGGGTCCCATCAGTCTTCTTCGTTAGTCGGACTTCCAGAAATGAGATTGTCTCTCCGGTTTCTGCCTCAATTGTAAATTTGATGGCTGGGTGGCGGCTATTAAGAGCTTGAAGGACATTATTCAAGTTATATTTGTTATCACAGATGATAAAAGTGTTATCGAAGTACCTTATCCTTTCTGACAGGTCATCAGTATCTAACGAAGGCATCTGCCTACAGGAGGTGCTTTTTATGACGCATACACCAATTCCTTGAATTATACAGGAGCACTGACTGACTTGACATAAGTTTCCCAAATTCGTATGTTGTTCCTTATGCTGTTTGAGTGCAGGAGATTTCCATACCGATTTCAGAGTAGTGAACACCCGTCTTCCTTTCTCAACCTGATTCTAACTGACTTGGAGGTCTACATCCATGTCATCTATGTAAGTGAAAGTTGTGTTCTCCCTCAAATTTCTCTCATCTATAGCAACTGGTGCTTGCTGTTGGTTAGATGCCGCCGTTACTTCTGTCATCTCTATCTTCATTTGAAGTCCTGTCTTCTCTGTTTCATCTACCGAATTGTTAGTTATCGCCTGTAGACCTTCGAGCTTACGTGACACTGAACACAAAACATCCGTGAAGTCCAAATCTTTTAGAATCTCCTCTACGGCCCAACGTATTCTTGTCTTCTAGCTTCCCACAGTTTGCCGCATGGTCCAGTCCACCACAGTTAGGAATACCACCGATAATAGTAGTGTAGCGGTAAATAATTTCCCAAAATTATTGACCACAGCAATCATCACTGAACATTGGATGCTGACCCTCACTGTTTGAGTCGACCTGTGTAGCTGAAGGCTTCCAGTCAAGCATCCATGCCATTAGGTACTCCATCGTGTCACGTTCGTGCGCGATCACTAGACAGTTAAGTAATCATCTCGCAATACGTTTTGGTCCCGAAATCTATCTCGTAATTTGGACGATCAACTCTGGTCTTTTGCTTTGCCTCTGGTCTACAAGGAACGAATACTATAGAAGTTGTGGGTACTAGATCTTGCGTTAGTATACTCCGTACAGTCCACGAACGTCAATACTGTCAGCCTCTAAGGCAGTCTTACTCCTGTCTTCACTTCAAAGGCTTTACTGAGTTTTCCGTTATGAGTCACCTGACATATGACATTGTCATATATCTGTTGAATGAGGTTGATAAAGGTTTAAGGCAACTCCTAGCGTTAAGACGGTCTCCAAATTGTTTCGCGGTCAACGCAATCGAATGCATAGAATATCCTGAAAACTGGTGTTCGTCCCTATTTTTTTAGAATAACTTATGTCTCCGATCTTAAAACGTATTGAAAACTATTTAGTTTTATTCTGGTGGAGTACAATTCTTAGAATGGTTCTGTTTACAATTTATTGACAACTCTTAGACGTTTTTTTCTAAAAAAAAAGAATTCAGTTAACAGAAACACATCTAAAGAAAGACGTGTACAACAAAGCTACCGTATATGGGGCATCAAAGCAGCTTGATAACTAGACAAAGACAATGCTAACACTGATGGTTCAATCGTAAAACACTCACCAGTCGTCACACGAATGGTCCAGAATCGACTCCCGCATAGTTTGCCAGCTAGAGTAGCAAGCCCCACCCCATCCCCAAAAAAGGAATGTATGAGGCGTGAGGTTGGGAACACCAACCTCTACTGAAACTACGAAAGCTTACATCCCTTTGTTCCACTCAGAACGTATAGGGAAAAAAAGAAAAGGTTTCATTTCCAGACCCCCCTACCCTCGTTACATACTACTTACAATAACTGAAAATGTTGACCGCAAAATAAAAAACGCAACATAACAATAAGACTAGTTTTCGACTATTTTATTTTAGAAAAATAATAATAAATAAGATATATATACACACAAAGTCATCTTATGTACCAAAATTAACATGCATTATCCTCCTGTTGGAAGATAGAATTTCAACTGTGGAATTTTACTACACAAAGGTTGTAGGACATCAGACATTAAATTCGACTCCAGCAGGATAAGATGCTTAAATATGCCTTTTATAAGTGGTGAATACACTTCGCTCGGTTCGCCTGCTAACGGATGATTATCATATGATAATAAATCAATAAATGCAATCAATGGCGGGATAAGTTCAGGTAGTAATGTAGGAGAAATTATTGGCCAACACAACTGGATAAATTCTGTTACAGATTGTAATACAAGTACATAGACTGTATCATATTCATCCGATTGATCGGTTTTTGAAGTGATAGTCTAAAAGTTGAGAAAAGAAGTTTGAAGGCAATATATAAATATTAATGATCAATATATTTTAATTGTTCTAAGATGTCCATTGAAAATTTAAAAGACTAATCAATAAACAATCAATATTCTTTTCGACAATTTCTTCATTAGTTTCTTCATTTATATGATCGTAATAATAATCATTAAAGAATTATTGTTATTAACAACATTAAAGCTGTTGTAAATTACATTGAATCAATCAACTGCATCGACAGATTACAGTTCCTGTTAGATGGTTGGAGGCAATCAGCCCGACCGATAACTGCTACCTTGACGTGTTGGTGGTCGCTGGGCTTGCACTTCACAATAACCCAACAAGCTACACTGGCTGGAACTAGTGTTCCTGCAGATCCTACCATGCCAGGAAGGTTGTGTTAGGACAGCAATTAGACTAAAAGCAATTACTGGCATAGTGTAAGAATTTTCTTTTTAACACTATGCTGGGGGTCTGTGGGTGAAGTCGTACTGCTGGAGAACAGGGATGTAACAGCAGTGAGGTGTTTCCATCAGATGACCAGCATGCCAACCAACTATGCTATCTCTCCAATTTGGAAAGAGGGGGTTAGAAAAGGTCGAGCCTAACAATTGTACATCCCGACTTACCCTACAGTTTTTCAGTAACCGGCGGTAAGTTTACTAATACGGAACCAAACCAAGAAACCAGTTCATACAGGCTGTGTGTGACCGGCCTCAAGCAGTTGTCCCCTGGGCTCTGCAGTCAAGTAACAGTAACCCTTTTCTTTATTTCAGGTGCCCGAAGAATCAACAAACTTCCACGGTGTGGGCAGCCGGGAAGTAACAACTGCCCACACACTTCCAAGAGCACACGAAGCCTCAATCAGCTTGAAGCCTTGGTGAAACCTAGGTTTCGTAAAAGTTTGCACTCGTCAGCAAAGCGTATCTGCAACCTCGAAGGAACACATGTCCATTCTGAGATCCGAACCCGTGTCACCCAGTGTTGTATTCAGAGACGTTACCACTGAGCTATTCGGGCTGACGACTGACCTCGACGGTGATGGCGAGCTACCTAGAATGATGGCCACATTGCAAACCTGATAGATAGAATTCAGTTTGCACCAAACAAAGGACTAGACACGCCACACTAGTTACTAGTGTCCAATGAAAGATTACAGTTCACTTAAAGTATCAGTAAGAGAGAGAAAGATAACATGCATTAATATAACATTAAACTGACTATCAGATAAATTAAGATAATTTATAGATTCGACAGCAGACCAGACCTGTTCCTCTTGCACGTAGAGCTCTGGTTGATTTAAGCGAATTGCCACAGCAGCTGATAGATACAAAGAACGTTTACTGGCGGAAAACTGCAGCTTACACTTTCCACACAACCGACTGCGATTCCGAAACTGAAAAACGAAATACCTAGGGTAGCCACTTCTAATTGTACATATCAGTTCATCTGCTCCTGTAGAACCAGTCATATTGGCTGTTGCTCTAAGAACCTAATTTTTCGTGCTCGGGAACACCACACCTACTAGTGTGGATAAATAAAGGCGTTGTTAAAGCCATAAACAGTTCTATATTAGATCGCCGTGTCCAAACAGGCCACAAAGCTAGCTGACGGACATTGAAGAGTTTCTCTCTACCATCCACCGGGTATCGAATAAACTACTAAACGCCTCTAGATACCGAACACTCCAAAAATCAGAGGTCACTACGATTCGCTTAAATCAATCGGAGCTTGATGTGCAAAAGAGGCAGGTTCAGTTGCTTTTGCTACCCTCCTGACCTGCTGTCGAACTTATAAACTCATAAATTCTGCGGCATTTCCCTTCATTTATTTGATATTCATTCACTTTAGTGTTGTATTAATGCGTATTACCTCTCTCTGTCTCTTACGGATGCTTCTGAAATGTAATCACCTATCGAAACTATTGATTCAGTGTAATTGAAAACTGCATTAATGTTGTTAATAAAGAGTATTTCTTTAATTATTACTGTCATATAAGTGTAAAGCCTGATGAAGAAGAGGTTATCGAAGAAGAAGAAGAATATCGATTATTCATTAATCAGTCTTTATGTAAAACACGAATAAGTAAACTTTTAGTCTAGAAGAAGCATAAGAAAGGTTACGTCAATAGAATGTGAAAATAATTAGTGCATTTGAACAACTGACACTCATTGAGCAGGAGGTAGTCGTTTGAAACGATAGGTGGTGTGTTCAAGTCTAATTAGAAATAACATCACTCATCAGAGAAGTAGGTATGACTGACTGATTGACTGTTTTCAATATAGAACTTTGCACCGGTGTGCAGCAGTTTAAGTCGCCACACTCAATCCATGTAGCACACAAAGCAAGGGAAGAAATGCAAAATAGAAACAGTAAACAGGGATATGAGACAAAAGGAATAGTATTAACGAAGAACAATATAGTTTCATTGGGTATTATAAGTCACAAGGAGTGGATGCATCTGCGCCAGCCATTGAGATGAAGATTTTGAGCCATATCACCAATTGTCTCTAGCTGTTACTGGTTTTTACCGTCCCGAGGACCCCAACCAGGAAGTCTACACCTTCCGTGACTGGCTTAAACTAACTATTGTGGATTTCAGTGACTGGTGCCATGTTCTGGTTTGACCACCACTGGCTCTTTTCCAGCTAACATTGCCTGTTGTCGAGGCAGGCGATGGCTAGGCAGGTATGCGTAATACATGTCCTAACTATCTCAGTCGATGTATCTTCACTGCCTCGTCGATTGATTTCCACTCTTTACCTATCACTCGACCAAAGCCTAACCTCAATATCACTCACCCATATTATACCACTTAACACGGAAGACAGAATGCAGGCACCTATGATCAAAGACAGCCAGCCTTTTCATATCTTCCACTCTCAATGGCCAGGTCTCACAGCCATAAATGAGGACGGAGTGGACTGCTGAGCAGTACACACACCCTTTGGTCGATGACCGGATATCACGTCTACGCCAGAGACGGCGTGAACTGGCATATGCGAAACAAGCCTTCTGTATCTGTACTGAGATTTCGTCAAGGGTCAACCCATTTGGGCTGATGCAACTTCCCAAATAAGTGAAGTGGTCAACGTACTCTACCAATTCACTCTCTATTTCTAAGCTAAGAGTCGATGTAGTCCAGTCCTGTAGCATCACATTACATTTGACAACAGGAGCGAGTCGCATGCCAAGCATTCGAAGACTGCTGCACAGCTCAAGGTGTTCAGAAGACTCTGCTCTATTTTGTCAGCGTCTTCACCTAAAAAGGACTATATCATATGCATATTCTAAGTCAAGTAGGTGTACATCCAGTTGATGCATCCTAAATAGGATGAAACGAGTGTCCTGGATTCCAGACCGTTTATTCAAAATAAGTTACCAATGAAGACTAAAAACTCAACACAGACATCATCATGAAGCGATATATCAGTTGCACAAGTGAAATTGTGCCGTGTGCCACCGACAAGATGCAGATTGACGGTAGGAAGAGGCCAAAACTGAAATCTACACTTTAGGTCAGTGGCTGGCTCAGAGGCACAAGTGTTTATTCCTCAAATTTGGATTTAGTTTACGATGCGAGCATAAAATAACCTCGTTGGACAACTTTCCATCTCATTGTTCAACCAATAAATATATGGTACATGATAATCAGATTGTAATGGAGTTGCGGCGTATTCGTCTAGGCGTCTCGATAATCTCACCTATAAGACAGTCTACATTTCCACATGCGGCTCTGTTTAATACTCAAAAACTTTATGAAATGATACCATGTATTGATTTAACCATCTCTAACTCTCTTTTAATCGACGTCTACATCAGCTAAGGCTACTCTATGGTGAAGTCGATAGCTTGTCAAATGTAACATGTGTACTACTAGTCATATCAAGTGATGTAGCTTCACAACATCACCAAGTGGCTTGCTTCCCCCCCCCTCCACTCCACCGCCGTTTTATTATTATTATTTCCTTTAATTCCTAGAGGAACATAGGGCTTCAGCCGCGCGTCTCCATTGCGTTCGGTTCTCTGCCAACGTTTTCACTTGGCTCCAAGTCTGCCCACATGCTTTCATACCCTCTTCACATCACCTCCTCCACTCCATGTCACCCTAGCATTGACGACCAACTCGCCGCTTCCCTTTCGGGTTCCACTCGAACAATGGCTTGTCTAGTGATGTCACTTGATGGTTTCCTCAGAGTATGGCCAATCCATCTCCATATCTTCCTGTATATTTGTTTGACAATCGGTTCCTGCTTGGTTCGCTCCCAGAGATCCCTGTTGCTGATCTTTTCTGGCCATCGGATCTTGAGTATTGAACGAAGACAGCTGATGATGAAGGCCGCCGCTTACCTAACATCAATGTTACTCACCATATTATACCAATTAACAAAAGAAGCAATTATAAATGGAACAATGTAATATAATATAAATAAAATAAAACTTACATGTTTAAATTTTCGTGGACCAAGTAAAATACTTGATACAATTTTTAAAAATTGTTCAGTATACAATGAAAAAGATGCTTTCAAAATATTCATCAATTTTAATAAATGTTTAAGTAGAACAATTTGACGCTTATATCGACTTTCCATTAATAGATCAAACAGTAGTCGTTCTGTTATTTTATCATACCAATGAAATGATCTTGCTTTATCCAATAGATTTGTTAACACTAACAGAGTTGAATAAACTTCATCAAGTAATATCTCTGATGAATCAGGGCTACTAGCGATTCTATGATTTAATAATTGAAAGATGACGGCTTCCGCGCGACTACTTTGTCGCCAATCAGCTATACGAGCTTTACAGGCTAAATTGTAGAGAAGTTTAAGACCAGCCAGTTGGATACACGGACGATAATCTTCTGTAAGTCTTAAACCCAAAGGTTGTAAGACAGAGATGAATTCATCACCAGCTAGTTCAGGATAATCAAGTTGTTCTATAGTTAACCAGATAAGTGTATCACGAAATAAAGGTGCACGAGTCAGTGGATCATCTGACGATTTGTCTGAGGCTTTTGTAATATGAATAACACAAAGTTTTAATATTTGTGAAGCTAAATTCGTAGGAGAAGAAGAAGAGGAAGAAGAATTCAACTTTTTAGATTGATGACTAGGCTCCAGGAGTAATAACTTTCTGATAGTTTCTACGCGACATTTATTCATCAGGATATGTAGAATCTCGTTAGCAAGTAGATTAAGGTTGTTGTTATTATGCAGTTTACCAGTGGTATATACATTTCCAAGAATACCGCCTAATAGTATAAGAGTAGACACTGGCGGGGCATAGTATTCCACACTTGGTTGATGGGTAAGTATATTTTTAATATCGGTACAAGTATCCAGATATATTTGAATTCGTTCATGCCATAAAGAATCTGGAACTTCGCCTTCGTGTAGCTCAAGTTTTGATGATTCAATAACAGCTTTCGACTTGACAGATATTTCATCAGAAGACATTATGAGAATAGTTAAAAATTTAAAAAAATTGAGTAAGATCTTTGTAAACTTGGAAGTACTTTTTAATGGTTGTTTATTTGACGTCTACATTATTTTTCTACAGTTTTGTAAATCGATAAATAGTTGCCCACTAAAATGAAAAAAAGAAAAGATAACTAAGCAAATTATTCAATGAATATATAGGACCCATCAAGTATTTCAGAATGGAGCTGCTTCTCTGTAATTTATTCGACATATTATACAAAGGATTAATGTGGTTTTGCTTCTAGATCATGAACTGCATGAACTCAGCAATACGTGATTGAATAGCAGCAGTGTGGTTCAGTGTATGATACTTTCGTGTTTTGGTATTCGGTTGAATGTGATTATGTCTTAGTAATTTCCAATACAATTTTGGACACTCATACCAACCTAAAAATGATGTCACCTAAGCCTTTGATATGACTTTATAATGCTTTTCAAACCTTCTAGACGTTGCGAAGATCCAGTGACAGTGAATGAAAAACCGGATTTCTGCGCTATTCCGTCAAGTTTACATTAACGAAGACAACGATCCATTTCTGAATGTTTACATCGAAACGATCGTTGAAAATTGCATTGGCAATTACCAAGACGCAATCACATTCAACCGAATACCAAAACACGAAAGTATCGTACACTGAACCATATTGTTGCTATTCACTCATGTACTGCTGAACTATGACGAAATGTCGACTTGAAAGTTCATGCAGTCCATGATCTAGAAGTAAAACCACATTAATCTGTTGAATAATATGTCAAAGAAACTTCAAAAAAAAACATTGTGGTAAAACCAAATCAGATCTCTACTTAAGAATCTGGAGGCAACTGATTCTATGGGAATTCGATTCCTAAGCAAGCTGTCAACAATCCGAATGAGGCCACTATCTCTAGGCACGGGATTCTGTATAAAATCCTCAGATATCCAAAAACCTGACTATCACGTACATTTCGAAAATCTGATAAATCAAACTTATGATCTAGTACCAAAATCTGAAAAGCACGTACAACCTTTCAAATTAACAGACCCTAACAGCTTTCACAAGTCTATAAACCTAAACCAAACGACAAGTCGATAGTAATCAAACATTATTGCAACTTAAGGAGTTGATAACCAATAAAGAGACCATGTTGATAAACCCTGATAAAAGTGAACGAATTCTGCCGGTGGATGAAACGTTAAGTATTCCACCTGATGAGTCCAAACCTACAAAACCAACCGATGAAAAGATGAAAAAGCGAGTTGAAAATTAACCGACCGAACAACTCACTGGCAAAGAAATCTTAGAATCCCTGAGAACATCTAGCCCAAATATATACTGAAAGTACACAGGTCAGATAAACCTCTTTGTCTTACTCTTGGACATGACAAATTCACCTTATCACTGCATTACTCAGTGGTCAGTATACCTGTCAGAGGTAATCAAAAGACAATCTCCTCTCACTTCAAAATTCCTTTGACTATGTTAATCATACTGGGAACATTAAACACCGTAAACGAATTATGCTCTTGATAGGTTTGAATTCATTACTTACGGCAGTTCCATTAACTGCGAAAAAATGCCACATATGTGAACATACTGCGTGCAAGGAATAAAACAGTCGTAATCATTCCAAATAAAATATTTTTGTGAAATGAATAATCCCACCCCCTCCCTTCCCGCCAAAACAACGCCGAAATAGCCCCGAAGTTTTTCAATTAGAATAGTTAATATTTGGAAGAACTGTTAACATGCAACCTGGTGACTCTAAACTATAGCAGTCCAAAACGGAACTACCTAATGAACGGATAAATGACCTAGAGCTACCAGTCAGATGAGTCCGTAGTTTACAGGCGGAATTATGGGTGCTGTACACGAATTACGTAGCAGATTTCATCCAAATATAGTATTTAAGTACTGCTTAGATCACACGCTCATTGCCAGCTGTTGTCACTGGACTATATTCACAGGGGGATCAATCATACGGACAATTCCTTTCTGTGTAGCTCACAAAGATTCTATCGAGATTTTCTAGAGTCACCTAAAAATGATGATAAGCGAGGTGGATGATTCAATAAACACGGCGATCTACAATTATCTAGGCGAATTTATATACACAAATTGATTTAACCTAACTATAGTCATATATGAGGACTCCTATGAGTTTTTTTGGATCATATGCAAGTGCACAATTTGAAATAAACGTCTATACACAAGTAAACCAATGTCAAAAGAGGCTACATAGGATAATATTCCCGCATATTTTCCAAAGAAACCGCCTAATTTCTCACGGGAATCCTCATAATCAGGTTAAATCAATTTCTGTGAATAAATTTCTCAAGGTCATCAATGAATTCATCAGGTAGTTCCGTTTTGGCTGATATAGTTTAGAGTAACCGGAATTGGCAAAGTTCTACAATAGAGTCCTGATTTCTTTGGGGTATCTTAACATGAAAAAAACAGCTCGAAACAGAAAAAATAACTTACCTTGAGGGCATTTGTGACGCACTCCTTCAATTTGAGCGCGTCAAGTCCAATATCATATTTTCGATTCAGATTTATTGGTTGAGGATAGAAGGCTTGGAGCCTATGTTATTTCCTTTTCTAGTAAATCCCTGTGCTTGTTCAAACACTTTTTGAATGAATCAGTCGAGGTTGCTGACACCACTTCTTCTGGGAGTCGGTTCCAAGAGTTTATGAATCGGTGTGAGGACCAGTACTCCACAGCACTATGATTTCATTTTGGCTTTTGAACTCACCTGTTATGTTCTCTAAGGTGTTCAGAACTGGCGGGGAGGAGGAGAGAGAATAGGTCAGGTATGTAGTCATTTAGTCATTATTAAAAATTCCAAACATTGTCATTAAATCTCCTCTCTGCCAACTCTATGACATAGAGAAGAGATTTAAACTGTCTAATCTTTCCTCGTATGATAAATTAACCATGCTAAGAATCATACATGTTGCCTTCCTTTGAACCCTCTCTAGAATATGTAAGTACCCATTAAGGCAAGGACTGGCTGCCGGGATACAGATTTCCAGTCTTGTCCTCACCAGCGATGTATATGAGGAGGTGAACATATCTCTGGTAATTCTAGTAAAGATTCTACGAATTGCCCTCAACGATCTGAAACTACATGCAGCCACTGCGCGAGAGTGTTCTGTGGTTTTTAAATCGGGACTTACTATGACACCTAAATCCATATGAGTCTGAACTGATTGGAGTGTTATTCCCCCTAGTTTGGAGGATCGGATGCTTGCGTGTCTGATGCTCAAGGGTTGCACATTTCACCACATTGATCAGGAGCATCCATTATCTGGACCACCCTGAAAATTTCTTGAAGTATTTTGGCAGCGTGAGCGTATCGCTGTCGCTCTTCAGCTGTCTCCAAATTTTTAAGTCATCTACGTGTAGGACCATAGGGGAGTCGGTGAAGCAGAGATAACTTATTGATTTACAAAATAAATAGGAGAGGTCCTAGTACCGTGCCCTGTGGCACTCTGCTACGCACTGCTGTCCAACAGGAGAGTTTCGAGTTGATCCTAGCTCTCTGTCTCCTATCTATAAGGAATTCACTAAGCCAGTTTAGTAACCTGCCCTTCATACCAAGACTTTCCAACTTCATGAGTAGTCTTTTGTGAGGAACTTTATCTAAGGCTTTTCTGAAGTTTGTGAAGACGACGTCAACGGGTCTCTTATTGTCCCTTGATTTACCACAGCATTCTTTTGCATTGAGAAGTTTTGACAGGCATGAGAGGTTTCCTAGGAAGCCATGCTGTGCTCTGGATAACAAATTGTTGTTTTCCAAATATGCCATGATAGTTTTCTTGGTGATTCTTTCCAGTGACCTGATTAAAGTGCTGGTGAGACTCATAAGCCTTTAATTTGAAGGGCTTTGTCTTGATCCTCCTTTGTGGATGGCGCTTACTATGGCGTCTTTCCAGTCACGTGGTAACACTCCATTTGTGAGAGATAGTTTGAAGATCGTGGTCAGTGGACCGGCTACGTGAGCTGATAGCTCCTTGAGAAGCCGTGGATGAAGATTATCAGGACCCATTGGTTTTCCGACCTTAAGTTTCATTAGGCAGTTGAGCACGATGTCTTGGTCGACGTCAATGAAGTCTACCCCGTGTTCCTTTGATGCAACCAGAGCTGATCCAATGGGGAGTGATGACTCCTGTGTAGAGACTTGAGAGAAGTAGTCTGCCATTGCTTCTGCTTTTTCTTGATCCTCTTCGACTGTGTCATTATCAGTAGTCAGGTTTGGGACATCATCGGATATCCTATTCCCGAAGTTCATGTGCGAGAAAATTTTCTTAGGTTGTGCCGTTGCATTTTGATTCAGATGTGCTTCGAAATTCATCCTTGATTGGCGGATTTCTGAATTGCTTTGTTCCTAGAGGTGTTGTATAATTTCCTGGTCTCAGGAGTCTCAAGTGTGTCACACAGGTCCCAACATTTGTGTTTACGTCTAATTAATTTACAGATCTCGGATTTTCCATGGGAGGAGCAATGTTTCCAACCCTTTAGAACAGACCAAAGGATGAAAGGTTCAGTCACTTGGGCATAAAGTCGTTTAAACTGGTTCCATACCGCTTCTACTTGGGACTCTGGGTTTATGTACCTGTTCACCGAGTTGGCTGCTGAGACGATCGCGTTTATGTCATCTTTCCAAACACTTGGCCGAGCTGGGGTTTTGGCCCATGATACTGCTGCTGTAAACTTGAAAGGGAGCACAGCGTGATCACTTCTACCTAAAGGAGGAAGATGTTGCATGAGATCCACACCCTACCCATGGGAGAAAACTAGGTCCAGAGCCATAGCGCATGGGGTAAATGACAAGTTGGACTAGGGATAGCAATATACTAGATTCCAGCAGTTTATTATGAAAGGAGTTTTCTAAAGATGGCGTTGTGAGGCTTGTCCAGTCAACTGTTGGGACGTTGAGTTTGCCGACTACGAAACTTTGACATTTCGATGTCGATGAGCCTATTTTCTCTTTCAGGAAGTCATCTGCACTGCAGTCAGGACTGCGGTTTATAACACTGAGGTCAATATCTTGGCCAATGCAATTGAATCTGCAGCGTAGAAGTTCGCACGATTCACTTTCGCTGGCGAGTGCTTCAGTGCTATGC